CTTTGGCTTTAGGCTGAGCTCAAACCATGACACTGAGGAGCACAGAGGTGACCCCTGGACCCCTGTGACCCCAAGGTYTGTGTCCCTTTTCCTCCCCAGGAGGGGCCCTGGCCTGTGATGGCAGCACGGGACCGGCACAGCGGCACCACCCACCCCTCATTTTCAACCTGGACCGCGACGTGGGGGAACAGGAACCTCTGGACACGGCGTCCAGGGAGTACCAGGAGGTGCTGCCGGCCATCAGCAGAGCCTACAGCCARGCCCTGCTGGACATTGCAGCAGACAACATCTCTGTGGCTGATTACTCGCAGGATCCGGCTGCCATCCCCTGCTGCGATGTCCTKCACGTGGGCTGCCGGTGCCACGGGGCTCACAAAGACATTGATCTTCCCCACGTGGAAAAGAGAACCCCACAGCTTTGTGTTTAATCAAAGAATTGCTCAGGCTGTGCTTTCCTGGGTGGTGTTTGTGAGCTGTGAGCTGRAGTTGGCCATGGACAGGGATGGAGGGTGCTGGGGTTGCTTTGCTCAGTGTTGGGTACAGGGAGGTGAGTCGGGTGTGGGTCTGGGTGAGCACACAGAGGGTTCCCTTGGGATCCTGGACATGTGGAAGGTTTTTTGTAGGGTTTTTATCTGGGAAAAAGACAGATTGGATTMAAACTTCCTGCAGCTCTCTACCTTGTGAGAGCTGGCTGTGGAAGAGAATTCCCAAGGGAAATTTGCTTGGTTTTCCTCTAAAAAGGAACCTTACAGGAGCAGCTGGTGGGAGCACAAGGCAGGGGAGGATGGGGCACACAGCCCCGGAGCAATCTGCCCTTCTGCTGCAGAGACCCTGAATGTTTGGTGGCTGCAGAGAAAATTCCCAGCTGGCACGAGAGGAGCGCTCTGGGAACGGAGCACCTGCYCTGCCAGCTGCCTGTGGGGCTTTTAGCAGGATCATGGCAAGAGCCAGCTGTCTGTGCAAGGCAGGAAGGAAAAAAGGGGGTCCTGGGCTGTCCCTGATRGCTGCCATCCCTGTGGGAAGGACATGGGATTGTCGTGTCACAGTGGAGCTCAGGGACTGCGCTGACATCCCAGTGCTTGGGACAAGCAGGGAGAGATCTGCAGGGCAGGACTGGGGTGGCTGCTCCCCATCAGCTCTGCAGGAGGGCAAAACTGTGGGGTTTGGGGAGATGAGGGCTCTGGCAGAGGAGCTGACCCTGCTGATCCCACTGTGGGCACAGATGGGGTGAAACAGCTGTTGTGGGGCCATTTCTGGGCAGCTGCAAAGGCAGAAATGAAGGTGCAACCGAAACYCGAAAAACCACCGGGATTTCTGAGCAGCTGCGTGAGGGTGTTCTGAAACAATTCTGGGTTCTGATTTACACACCCAGATCTTGTGGACCCACCCAGGTAGGCTGCCCTTGTCCCAGYGCCCCAAACCCCTCCCAATCCCCAAACTCCATCCAGACTGACACCCAAAAAGAACAGCAGGAGCTGCCAGGGACAGACTGTGACTTTATTCTGTCTTTCAACATAACAAATGGCATCTTGTCTAATATCACTGCAAAAATACTTTGCTGGGTTAAAATAGTATGTATATACTGTACAAAGACATAAGTTTAATATCTCTCCCTATAAGTACATTTATACACATAAAACAGCATAAATTAGAAAAGGGACAAATGGGTATATAAAATTCTGGTTACATACAAATCTGATTAAATTAGCATTTACACTGTGGTTCTAACATAAGAGTTTGTTAAATAGAGCCATGTGCATACAGTACATTGACACCCCACCCAGACACAAATTAAAACAGGGGCTTGCAGGGCCAGGTGTTCACTGACACAGAGGAAAAAAATGTGGCCCACCTCAGAATGATTTATTTTTTTTTTCTTGACTGGGGACTCACAGATCTGTTCTTCGAAACTCCTGGCTTTTCCAAAGCACCTCCCAGCAGCTGTCCTAAGCGTGGATGTTTTTGCTCCTCCTCACGACCTCTTCGCCTTGCCCGGCTGACCTCCACGGCACAAGATTATCTACCAAAATCAAAACAGAAGGGCCTTACTTTTCCCAGCACYGGGGAGCGTTTCCAGTTGGTTTTACGCACATGGGAGGAGCAGGGGGAGGGATGTCCCGCAGTGTTTTACTTTCCGTTCCAAGGCAGATTGGTGAGAGGTTTATTTATTTAYTCTCCCCCTCCCCAAATTGACAGTCCTGGGAACAGGAACAATCTGGTTTGGTGGTGAGCACAGCCAGGTTTTGGGGAGGGCAGTTCCTGGGGGTGGAGGGCATTCGCCTCACTAAGTGCTCCCAAAAAGCTCAGCTCTGGCATGGCTGGAGGGGGAAGSGTGTGCTGGGCATCCCTGCGTTGTTTTGGGGTGGAAAACAACCCAGAGCTCAACTCCAACATGTTGGATGGGATCAGGAGAACGAAAGCCCAGCCTAAGCACCAGCAAAGCCTCTGAGTGACAGAGCAAAGCAGCAGCAGRACCCTGATTCTCCTCCCATCAGCTACCCCAGCCACAGAAACCCCCAGTAAAACATGACCCAGCTGCTGGATGAGGCGTGGGCAGCCCAGGCACAGATCCTTCCCAGCTCCAGCCTCTCCAGACGTGACCTGGGAGGGATTTGAACCCCCCAGCTGCCCCTGCAGAGGGTTCCTGCCAGCTCCTCCTCCAGGTCTGCCTCTCCCCAAGCTGCAGGACCAGGTTTCCAGGCACAAGCATTGAYACAGGATGGCACAATTCCCAAGGGACCTCAGATAAGGCCCTGATAAGCTGGGCTTAATCCTGCAAGCCCCAGCTGCCCAAAATGCCAGTCTGAGCTACCGGGGCAGGAACCAGGTTCTGCCAAACTCCCTCATCCCCTTTGAAACGTAATTACAAATAGAGCTTCACTGGAAAATCTGTGGCCTCTCCTCTGCCAACAGCCAGCTGTTAAAAAATAATCACTTAAAATAATGAGTGTCCATATCCATGCAACAGAACGAGGGAAACACCATCCAGCAAACAACGAGGAGGAATCTGGGCAAACATTGGTTCCACAGAGCCAGAGATGTGTCTGCAGCCTGGTTTCTTGTGTCAGGAGCTGTGCTCTGGAGCAGCAGAGGAGTGTGTGGACCCCGTGACAGGGCACTGATTTCTGCCCTGTTGTAGATTCCCCCAGATTTTTTCCTCTCCTACAGGCAGCAGCATCTTTTGGCAGCACAGGAAACTGCCCAAACCGTTTTGGAGCAGCACAACCTGATGTGAGAGATGGTTTTTMAGAGTGATGGAGTCTCAGTGAGGGGAAGCTGCCTTTGAAGGGCTGATTGCTGTGTGCAGCCTCACTTAATGAAATGGCTCTCCTGATAAAGCCTTCACCTCTGGCCCTGCAGCCAAATGCAGGAAGGGTCACCTATGCCTGGAAAAGCAATCTGCTGGAAGAAATCACCTATCCTATAAATCCCAGAAGTTTTGGGAAGACCCTTGGTTGCACTCCCCAGGTGCACACAGGCCGTGCTGCTTGCAGAATCCTGGAGGATTTTTTTTTGCCAAACCTCACAGCACGACCCCAAAACTGCAGTGCCTGGCCCAAAACACACACCAACAGCTCCCAGCACCACTGGAAATCTCACTCCCTGCTACACCCACAGAACAGGGGTGGCTGCTCAGGCAGGTGACCAGAAAACAGCCTAAATTGCCCCAATTTTGCAGCCAGAGCTGGGTTTGCTCTCCTGACCCTGCAGTGTGAGGGCTCTGCAGCCTCCTCSCTGCACATCCAGCACGGCTTCAGCCCCCTGTGCCCCTCAGTAACACCTGAGCCCTTCCTGCCTGAGATCAGCAGTGTTTTGGGAGTGTTTAATCCTCCCCATCCACGCAGGAGCTGCCACTGAACTGGTTTGACCTCTTGCCGCAGGACCCTTCTGCAATCCTGGCACCAGCAACRTCCACATCCCCTCTTGTGGAGCTTTTTACGAGTCCTCCTTGGGCTTCTCATCTCYTCTCTGATCTGTCCCTCCTTCCACTTAATGAACAGGCACTGTCTGACAGATTTTATGTTAGGCCAAAGCTGTTTTTCCTCACTTTTTAACAGCCGAGCCTCTGAAGTCTTGCTTGAGGTCAAGGGAAGACGAGAGGTTTCAAAATGGGGAGAAACTGTGGGGTTTGAGCACTGCTGTTTCTCCGGAGCCACATCTGAGTTCAAAGCCATACCGTGGGCTGCGGGTGAATATTCCATTTTGTCACAAGTTTTGAGGTTTTTAAATTGTCTTTTTGTTGCGTGCTGGAAAACAAACAAAACCCTTCCCATGTTTCCGCAAAGCYGAACGCTGTCAAAACATTTTTGTTGGATAAGGTCAGGTTTTTTCTCCCTCCTTCCCCGCACAGGAGTGACCGATGCCTGAAACCCCCTTCACTGAGAATGAAGCTCTCAAGTGGTGAGAAAACAGCAGAGTTCAGCGAAATTTAGAGCATCCAAACATCCTGGAGTGCTCCCACTGCGAGGGGCAAACCCAAAATGCGAGCGTGGGGGTTTGATCTGGAAGCTCCGTTTGCTAAAGCGCCGTTATCGGGGAATATTTTTGGAAAGTGCCTTCGCTTCCCACACCACCTCCTCCCTCACAATACACATCACTGGCTCTGGCAGGTTAATGACAGGCTTTGGAGGGATCAAAGTTCACTCTGTGAAGCACCTGCTGTGGTAGAGCAGAGCTTTGGGGTTGCTTTCATCCAGCACAGCCCCAGCAGGAAGCCTCGTTCAGCAGCAGCGTGAGTYCTCCCTGCTGGCATTTGCTTGTCCCCAAACCATGAGGTCAAGAGCAGGTTTAGCAGAAGAAAGGATTTCTCTCCAATCCTGCTGCTCCTCCCAGGGGCCATCGGCTTCTCSGTGGCCACACAGAGGGAGACTTTTTTAATATCCTTCCTGAGTAATGGARTTGGACAAGTGGGAAATTCCTGCTCCCGGTTCTCAGCAGGCAATGCTGCAGGTGGGGAAGGCAATAATGTGAGGGTTGTGTGAGCTGAGCTGGGCTGAGGTGGTGTTGGCTCAAAGGAAACCAYGAGCCAGCCACCTTTTATCTCAGTGACACTTTGCATCAGCTCYGAGGAAGGTGCCTCGCAGAGGTCAGCTCAGCACATGGAACCAATCCTGGGATAAGGCTCTCACTTCCTCCTTTTCAGGCAAAACTCCAGCAGCAGGAGATGTAAAAATGAAGTAAGGAATTCCAAAAGCCTRCCAAGGCTACAACCTGAAATCCATTACAATATTCTGCTGCATGACTGTTATGAGRACACCACTGATTGCAACCAGATCATAGCACGGACCAGCATTTGTCCAATTAGGGGTTAGATACTTAATAAATGAGTGTGGAAGATAAAAAGGAGCTGGAAAGACACTGCCAGGCTGAAGTCAGATTGAAAAATCCACTGGCTCCTTCCAATGGTAACTGAGAAAGTGCCATATAAAAATCGTAAAATGGTTTAAAACTCTGTTATTGCTTTCATCTCTGTACTTGGAAAAGGAGTTTCCTTCTCAGTTACCTTGGAAATGAAGAGACTGGTRAGGTTCAGGTATGTTCCAGTTGCATTCCATGGACTAACACAACTGACTGAAAATGCAACGGGGTATTAAGTTTTTATTTCTAAATTGTTCCTACTGAAACTACTCCTGGTAATATTAGAACTCTGCTAAAGGCACAGAGGTTAGGTCTGGATCTGAACACCATTCAGCAAGTTTGCTCAGATTCCTCTCTACTTAGGTTTGACCCTTTTTGCCCCATTCCCAGCTGCTGTTTAGTGGGGGTGGCATTTTCCTGGCGCTGTCCCTAGAACTCATGGGGTTATTTTATACGTCAGAGTGAGCTGGGACAAGGAGGGAATCATGGAATCTCTTCTGGGACAGGTTCCTACTTCCTTCTTAGCATGAGGGCTGCACTGCAGGTTTAGGGGTCCCGAATGCTCACAGGAGGGAACTCATTCTCATCGTCCAGACAGACAGGTCCAGTTGCAAACTCGTGCTCCGGGATCACCTCCCCCCGCAGGGCTCCGCCGTCCTCCGAGTAACCTGGGCAGGGAAAACACAGGGTGTTACTGCAGGAAGGCAGGGGAGGAGGCCAAAAACAAACAGCACACACTGTCACCACCTTCTCAGCACCCAGCTGCTTCCTCTGGCTCTGTGGATTAAGGAAGAGGAAGGGATCTCCATGGACACTATGGATTATGGATGAATTGCATGGCTAGCTGCTGTGGCAGCAGCTTTCCTCCTCCTGCCATGAACCTAAGCACTGATTTCAGGGTAAGATCTTCATCTGTTTGTGGATCTCAGGCTTGGGAATACAATGAGATCATCACCCAGTCTTTTCCTGCAGCAGTTTGGTGTAAGGTGTCCCAGCTTCAGAGAATCTGAGGCAATCTCACCACAWAAACAGCGAGCCCTGACTTCTACACCCACAGTTACAACCCCTGGAAACCACCTGGCAGCAGCTGCTGCTGACAAACGGTGGTTCCTGCTCTGCCCAGGGCCTGTCTGTGGCACAGCCCTGCAGCAGGAGCAGAAGCAGGAAACTCCAGGCCTGTTTTTGTGGCAGGGGATGAACCAGGCGAGCTCCAAAGTCCTGCTGCCCCAGCGTGCAGCGCACACGTGATGATCCTGGATGAACCCCTGGAATCTGGGACGCTTTCCACTTTGCCCCAGGTGGTTTTGTGGCTTCTGCCCGAGGCAGGGCACATGTGGTGCTTACCTGGCATGGTCGAAGTTGAAGGCACTGTACTTTGTCTGGCTACGGTTGCTGCATAAGATTGAGGTACTGGAGGCTGAAGGTCATTTTCTTTGTTCTCCTCCATCTTTCCTGAGCCGAGCAGACTAATGGTACAGGAGCAAATAAAGGGGAGAAGAGTTAGTTCTGATCCAAATTGCTCCTTTCCRGCCCAGCTAAGACAAGGCTGTGCATCCACATCTCCTCAAAGCACATCACCCATCCCCATCGCTGCGTGCAGTGCTGTGGACAGGGGGGCATTGTGCTCCACAAGGAAAGCAGGGGGTGAAGAAGGAGATAGGGGAAGCACCACTTCGGCTGGAGGACAATGCTGGCATGGGAACAGAAGGGAACAGATTGACCACAAGAGCTTTAGGTTACAAAGGCAAACAGTGTTTCTAATCACAGAGGGGGCTCCGAAGGGTTTCCAACAGGAGCAGACTAGATGGGAAAAGCAGCCGTGGCTAGTTTAGGACAGAGTGTGAGCAGAGATATCGTATGATGTAATGTAACTCATGACCCAAGGGCCCTTTTCAGCCCTCTGATGCTCAGAGGAGCCCACATGACAAGGCTGGGGGCTGCGGGCGGCGCGCGCTGGACAGCGCAGCTTTGAAGTGCTTTTGTTTTGTGGCTTTCCCAAAAGCTGCTGGCACTTTCCTGGCTGGCAGCCACCTCCCGGCCCGCAGCACATGTTACATCTCACCCCACCCCAAAGGCTTCACATCTGGAGCCAAGCAGCCCAGATGTGTGCGGGGGGGTTAYGTGCTTAATGGGATTTGCATATGGACTCAACAACGGCGGGGGAGGCTCCGTTTTTTCACAGAATCCCAGAATGATTTCAGCTGGAAAAGACCTCGAAGATCATYGAGCCCAACCTTTGACTGATCATCWCCTTGTCACCCASAGCAGAGCACTGAGGGCCACATCCAGCTGTTTCCTGAACTCTGGRGAGTGGTGACTCCACCACYTCCCTGGGCAGCCCCTTCCAATGCTWAACAAMCCTTTCCATGAAGAAATTCCTCTGCTTTAGCACTGGGCTTTTGTTTAGAGAAGCTCACAGGGTCACCACACACCATTCACCCCCCAGTCAGCCCTCCAGCACCCACTCCAGTCTGGAGAAGGTGCTCTGCTCTCCTGACACCATGTTGGGATGAGTTGGGCTGCCAGAGGGATCTCCAAGGCACAGCCTGGCCACTCTTAAGCTGGCATGTCCCACAGCTGCTGTGGGGTCTGAGATGACTCTGGTTTCTTCTGCAAGATGCTCGATGTCCCTGCCTGCTGATGTGCTTCCCATCCACATCTGTCAGCTCAGGCAGCTCAAATCACCATCTCAGTTCTAACTTTCTTGCTTAATTTTGTGCTTCCAGGTGAGATTTCCCTTCATTTTTCAGAATGAGGTGTGAGTGGAGGCAGARTTACCTGTGATTCTTGATCAAGACACACTCCCCTCCATCCTGCGGGTCCAAGTTATAGATGTAGAGATGTCCATCCGACGTCGTCACCAACAGCCGAGGCAGCTTCTGAATCCTGGGGGGAAAAGCATCCTGAGGCCAAAAACCTCACACACACAGACACAACAGCACTTCCAGCACGTGCTGTGGGGGCAGGGGGATGAGATTATGCTGGCCTGGCCCAGGGGCAGTGGTCACTATGGTCAGTTTGGTCAGTATGGTCAGTACGTACGTGGAGAGCGCACAGATGTTCCTTTGGCCGGAGATGTTGAGCCGCACGGTGGCGAAGGCTCGGTCCTGGCTCATCATGCCCGACACCTGGGCAGGGAGGTAGTTGGTGGCAGCCTGGAACATCTTCCCCATGTAACCACTCCAGGTTGGAGGCTCCTCGGGCCGGCTGAGGGGGTCACAAAGCAGTGTCAGTGGGGTTCCCACCAGCAGCGTGACAGAACAGYGGAACACACCTGATCTCACCCAGGTGAAGGTGTTTTTGGAGCAGCTGTACATTGTGCACCAGCCTGGCTGCGTGCACAGGGACAAGGCAGGGGACAGTGGCACCTCATAAAGCCACAGAGGCATGGAAAGCATGACAGCAGGGGTGCAGTGAGCAGCTTTTCCAAAGAGTGAGTCCCTCAGGACACAGAGACAGTTTGCAGATGRTATCACTCATGGAGAGTACGTGGTGAGGACATGGAGAGCAGCTGTGTAAGCACAGGCCTTTGAAGCACAGACAGCCCTAGGGCAGGCAGGTGAAGCCAGGTCAATRCCCTCACCTGTCTGTGAGATGCTCCAGTTTGAAGATGTGCACGGTCTCGGTGTTGCTGGAAGCACAGAGGAACTGGGAGTCCATGCTGAACACCAGCGAGCTGATGTTCACATACCTAGAGCCAAGCAACGACAGCAGCGGTCACTCCAGGGCAGGTCACTCAAACCTTCCACAGAGGAGTGGATRGGGAGGATGGAGACCCATCCCTGGTGAGGATCACCCTGCACAGCTGCTGCTGAGCCTGTGGGCTCACTGATAAGCAATTCCCTAATCCTGCTGCTCAGCRGGGCTGGGGCAGCCTCGAGCTAGTGACAAACAGCCAGAGAGGTGGAAATGTCCTTGCTCACAGAGCTGCCTGGGGAGGGAACATCTGTGCCAGCCTCACTGCAGCTTCTGGTACTGCAGAGAGCAGGGAGGATATCCAATATGGGAACAGTGGGGTACAAACAGCATCTCCTGCATGGGTTCAGCAGGAACAGGGTSTCTGATGATTTGGGGACTTCACTTATTTCAAGTAAAAAGCAGAGTAAATGGAGTGACTCCATGTCTGTTCCCTGCCACTGCTCTGCTCTGTGACACACTGAAGGGAATCACTGAGCTGGGCACAGCCTGGCATGGTGACATTTCCAGCTGGTATGTTTGCTYTTGTTTTCCTTCTGCAAAAGATGACAAAGCCACCAGGATCTGACGCTGCCCTGCATCCCTGTGTTTACGTTTTGGCTCCAGGAGCCCTCAGTGTATTTGTCACCRCCAGAAGAATGAACTGACCTTTTCATCCCTCGCCGGAATTCATAGAGTTTTTGCCCCCCAGGAATGGAAAATACACGAATGACTGTGCCCTGCAAAAAACACAAATGGAAATATCACGCAAGAGCAGGCCAAGGAGCCYGAGCCCTTTCCCTGACACACCCAGGAAACTCGGGACATGCAAAGGCTCCTCCTGTTTGCCAGCTGGGCTCAGTCTGATCCTGATACACTGACCAGTCAGTGGCCCTTGTGTGCTGGCTGTGTTTGAGAAGGGCAGCTCAGGGATGCTGCTGCACTTGCAGCCACACTCACTCACTTTTTCAGAAGCACTGGCCAGCTTGGAGCCGGTGGAGTTGAAGGTGAGGGCGGCCAGAGGCCCGTCGTGGGCAGGAATGGAGCAGGCAGTTTTCTGTGGGGCACAAGGTAAGGTGAGTGTTTAGGGATGTGCTGTTCCTTGGACTGGGGGAGGGCAGGGCATTCCTGCCCCACGCCCCAGCCAGCCCTGCTGATACAGACTCACGGGATTGTGCTGTGCTCATGGTATCCCTTCAACATCCTCAGCACTTTATCTCTGCCCTGCCTTGAGTTCATGCCCCTGATTACACAGAGCTCACCTCAGAGGCACAGAACCTCAGCTCCCTGCCTCTCCAGGGTTTGGGATTGTGCCTGCACCCTCTCCAAAGCCTGGCACTACTCTCTGCAATTCCCTGTGCTGCACAGCGAGTCCTGCTGCAGTGACACCACCCTGGCAGTTGCAGGGAGCCCCAGCCCTCGCAGCACCTCTTGCAGCAGCAGCAGCGTTTTCCCTGTGCYCTGCTCCTCCCCTGCTGCAGATCCYCAGCTCCTGCTGCATGTAGGGAGCCACCAGCCTTATGTAACCCAAAGCCCTGGCACAAACAGCAGATAATCATGACCCTACATCCAGCCAGGAAGAGATATCCTAAGGGGACTCTGGACACTGTGCCCTCTCTGTGACTTTGAGCCCGGCATCCCTTCCAGCCTGTGGCGTGCTCCTGCGCCTGGAGCAGCTCCCACCCTCCCTGACCCACASTGGTCACTCAGTCCCACGGGACACGCTGCTGACGCTCCTACAGGAACCCCAGTGTCAGCCTGGCAGCGGCCCTCGGGCTGCAGGGCAGTGGGTCACGTTTCCCTGAATACTCTGGGACATGCACATCCTGATCTCAGAGCTGTCTGCTCCGAGCAAGGGGGATCCATCCAGATGTGCCTGCCAGGCAATTCCCTTGCACTTCAGCTCGGTGGAGCGTATTTATTCATCCTTCCCAAGGGCCCYGTTGGCTTTGCTGTGGCTCTGTTTGTTTTCAGCCCCTGCCGGTATCCAAAGGCTGAGCTTCGCACTTACCAAAGTATTTCCGTCGTAAAGCGCGATCTCTCCGCTGGTCGCGCTGCCGGGATAAGCCAAGTACGAGTTGGCGTGRTTGATGGAGAGAGCACACAGACCTGGCAGGGGGACAGGGACACGGCTGAGGCTGGGAGAGGGGAAGGACAGAGCGGGGTACGGCGGGGTTCAGGCTCGGGCTCTTTCTGGGACTGCCCGGAGCGCTGAGAATGCCTCGGCCGTGGGGACATCTGCTGGTACGGGACAGAACGGCGGCTGTGCCCTGTCACCTCCCCGGTCCCCGAGCACAGGGAACCGGATCAGGGGATCAGCACGCTCTGGGCTTTTCCCCTCCATCATCTCCCTGGAGAAGGCAGGAATAGGTGCATGAAACAGCAAAGGACATGTCGGTCTGAGGGCTGAGAGCACTCCTGTCCAGGCACATCTGGACACATCCAGATGTGCACAGGGTGTAGGTGCTGGGTTGGACACTCAGAGGAGCAGCCCAGTATGGGTGCAGCCCCATTGCAGGCTGGCTGGACTGAAGACAGTGCCATTTCCTTCTGCTCGGAATGAAAAAGGGAAGCAGAGAGACAAAGGAAATGCGCCAGCTGTGCAGGGAGTTTCCGGCTCACAAGGAACTTGAACGCATCGAAATTTCAAGCACTGGGGGAATTCTTCCATCTGGTTTCGTGCCAGCACAAGCACAAAGGTTCCCAAACAGGAATTACAGGATGAGACAGGCATGGATGGATACGTGTGTGGGTACATCCATCCRCTTGTCCCCCAGGTGACCTCGGAAAAGAGCATCTCTTCCTGCCTCTCGCTCCTGCTGCTGGCTGGGGATCCAGCCGGTGAATCCTGTCACATCTGAAACGTGCCTCGCTYGCTTCCTGCCCACATCCGTGTGCTCGCAGCCTCCCAAGCCTGACT